CATGCTGAAGTCCATCGCGGCTCGCTTATCATGGCGATCTCCGGTCATCACAGTCAAGCAAGCCTCAGAAACTACATCGGCCGCCCTTCAAGTAAAAAAATAAGAGCTTGCTCTGATATCCTTTCCGATGCGTTGAATGGCTAGTCACATCAGTCACTGCTGCCGAGTTTTGCCGTGCTGTCATCCCGAGCGATCTTCATGTTCCGGTGAATTCGGCTGTCGTTCATTCAAAATACACTCGCCTTGAACAGTTTGTTTTCTACCTTATCATGTGAAAAAACCCGCGTGTTTTTATGAGCCATAATTCGGCTGAAGTTCACTGAACATTTCACTTTAAGATTCTCGGTATTAGAGACTTAAAAACTTCAGGCAAAAGTGTTAAATTCGACCTGCCAAACTATTTTAGTTTGAAAGCTATCGCAGAATGTGAACTTTGATGGTTTTTGAACTTTGATGGTTTGACACTTTTGACAGCTTTAGTCTTGTACAGCCAATCAGATTATTTGAACCATTCTAACAGGGATTCTGATTGGCTTATTGAAGCGTGCTTTATGAGAGTATAGAGCATGCTGACGACACTGTTGTTCGCTTGGGGAATAAAATTTGTTTTGAAAATTGAAAGTAATGCTCGGGGAATTTAATGGTTTCTTTATTATAAAACAAATAGAGAAGCCTTGACTGTGCTCTGTTCTGTTATAAAGCACTTAGGAAGCGGCTAGAGCACTCAAGAAGTGGGGAGAAACACTCGACTACGTCTCGTATTTCTCCCTACACTTCTCTCGTGCTCTAGCCGCTTCCTGCGTGCTTTATAACAGAACAGAGCACAGTCAAGGCTTCTCTATTTGTTAAATAGAATAAAGCGTGCATAGACCAAGTGCTCTACACAACTGCCTTATTGGAATGCCCCGAAGTAAATTACGCACAATGACATATGAGCATAATCACGTGACTGCGGTCAAATGTGTGCTAACCAATAGAATAAAGATTATATAATAGCTAAGGTACTTATGCAAATAGGAACAAATACTACATTCCACCACACTAATTTCAAAGGCTTGGCAATCAGTTACTCTAATCATTACGTATTAAATCCTAAATGCTTTGGTGCTCGACGCTGTCGAATTGGATAGCGTGTTTGAGGTTGAGGTTGGGCTGTCGCGGCTGCGTGCGTACCTTCATCGTTGTCATTTTCGCTACTTTTGGTTTCATTTGGTTTTAGCGTGGCTTTTTCCGCGGTTTCCGCTTGCGGAGGCGTTACCGGTTGGATGTCAGTGGTATCGTTTGAATGTGTTGCACTGATTTCTGGTTTACTATCTTTGTTACTTAAATGCTTTTGGTCCATTTGGTCAACATGACGCTTCCATAGTTGTTCTCCGAATAAAACTTTATAATAGACGGGACCGATCTGCTCCGTAACGGTGCCATCAAGCCGCTTCGGCTCACCACGGAAATTTTGCACCAGAACTTCTCCACCAAGGGTGAATTCTCTTCCTTCACTAGTCTTATCGTGTCTGGCTTTCTGATCCGTCTGCCGGTCAAATACTTTCCGACCGAGGCCAGGACGCATTAAATCTAACCTCGTTCTTAATCGACGATTTAGGAACAACTCGGTTGGTGTTTGGCCTGTAGTACTATTTGGTGTCGTTCGGTATCTGATAGGAAATCGGGCTGAACTTTGCATAATCGAATCGCTCCCCTCCGCCTTAAAAAAAAATTGCTTGAACGTTTGAACAAAACGCTTTGCTTAGCCATTGGATCGAGGGTGATACGGAGCAACAAGTGTGTGCTTGATTCCGTTTGCTTTCATAAATTTACAGCATTCTTCCGAAGTGAACTGTGAGCCATTATCACTCACGAGTTGTTGTGGAATGCCATACCGACAAAACACATCGCGAAGCTTTGCGATTGTCGCTTCACTAGTGAGGCTGGGCATTATCTCTGCTTCAAACCATTTTTTCTGACCTCATCGACTTCTTCGTTCGCTTTGTCGCTGTGTATCGGCAAGCGGGATAAACCATCCGCGTTCGCGTGTTTTGTTGTCGAACGGTACTCAATATCATACTCGTACACGGCGAGCAGTAATGCCCATCTTTGTAAGCGTGCGACTGCCAGAGTTGGAATACCGCTCTTCGGTCCTGCAATGTGGTTAACGGTTTGTGGTCTGTAACTAAAAGAAATTTTCTTCCGTACAAGTATTGGTGAAATTTCTTCAATCCGAAAATAATGCGGAGTGCTTCCTTTTCGATCTGCGCGTAATCACGCTCGCTTTTGGATAACGTACGCGAAGCATAGACGATCGGTCGCTCTTCTCCGGACGGTAATATGTGCGAGATTACTGCGCCGATGCCATACTGTGAGGCGTCTGTGTCGAGTTTTAACGCTAATTTCTCGTTATAATGTGTTAAAACGGGCGCGCTGGACAATTTGTCTTTGAGTTGATTAAACGACTTTTGCTGTTCTGTAGACCATTTCCATTCGACTCCGTCTTTCAGTAACTCGTTTAACGGATAGGTGATAGTTGAATAGTTACTGATGAATTTTGAATAATAATTGATCATTCCGAGGAATGACCTCAACTGATGCTGATTTACGGGTGCGGGCACCTTTCTTATGGCTTCGACTTTTTTCTCGATCGCATGTATTCCTTGCGCATCTATTCGATAACCTAGAAATTCAACGGTTGGCTGCATGAATTTGCATTTACTAAGTTTTAACCTCAAGCCAGCGCGTTTCAACCTCGCTAAAACTTCATTCAGATGAATTAAATGCTCTCGATCATTTTTCCCCGATATTAAAATATCGTCCACCCTACAAACGACCATTGGTATACCCTGGAGCAGTTGCTCAATTTTTGATTGAAAGATAGCTGACGCGGAGGATACTCCAAAAGGTTAACGAGTGGATCTATATAAACCCTTGTGAGTATTTATGGCTACATACTCCCTAGAATCCTCGTCCAAAAGAATTTGTTAGTAAGCCCTGGGTAAATCTAGCTTACTGAATTTTTCTCCCCCACTTACTTCAACAAATAACTCTTCGGGGTTTGGCAACGGGTGTTGGTCAACCTCCAAAACGGAATTGACGGTGACTTTACAATCCCCACAAACTTTGATTGAATTCGGCCGGTTTAACGACAGGAACTATCGGTGCCACCCACTCTGAGTAACGCACCTTTTCGATTACTCCCATATTTTCTAGGCGATTTAATTCTTGTTCGATGGCTCCTTTTAAAGCATATGGAACTTAGCGCGGTTTGAAAAACTTCAGTTTTGATTCGGGCTCGACGAATAGTTTAGCCTTAACGCCTTGCATAGTACCTAACTCATCCTTGAATACAGATTGATGTCTAGATAACATGCTATCTAAATCACAACTTATCTTCTTGATGGATCCCAAATTTAACTTAATGTTCTTTAGCCAGTTCCTTCCTAATAGGTTTGGTCCGTTCCCTTTTAAAATTTGGAGCGATAACTTGGTGGTTTGATCTTGATAGGTTACTTCCACCAGTGCTTGTCCAATAATTTCGAGGGCTTCTCCCGTGTAAGTCTTCAACTTGATTTGGGACTCCTCTAATGGAACTTTCGGGAACCGTCTTTTCCATGCCTCCTGGCGGACATGATTGAAACTGACGCACCAGTGTCCGGCTCCATCGAAAAGCTTACACCACTCACCTTTACAGGAACCATGATGGATGGTTCAGGCTTTTCTTGATGAATGTGAAATAGTTTGAAGTCGTCGTTTGGCTCTTTTTGAAGGATGTCGTCCTCCACGAACCGAACTGGTTGTCTTCTCCCACCTTGATTCGAACGTGATCCATGGGCGTAACCACCTGAGGATGAAGGTGCTTTCTTCTTACAAGCTTTGGCGATATGCCCTTTTGACTTACAATTCCGACATAATTCTTCTTTAAATCGGCACTTTTGCGGGATGTGGTCCTCGCCGCAACAGAAACACGGTGTCTTTGGCTTTATCGCTTTTAGCGGATGCGGTGATCTCACATGATGTATGCCACTATCTGCGGGAGAATTCCTGAAGTTGTTGGCTTGCTTATCAGCAACTTCCATTGCCAACGCCATTTCTACTGCAGTTTTCCATGTGAGACTTTTTGCTACCAAGAGTCTTTTCTGAACTTGTCTGCTTCTCAGGCCACAGACGAATCGGTCTCTAAGGGCTTCCTCTAAAAATGCGCCGCAGGCACAATGTTCTGAACACGTCTTTAGGGCTGCAATGTACGCCGCCACACCTTCCTCCTCGAGCTGTTCGCGCTTGTGGAAGTGAAAACGTTCAGCGATGACGATCGGCTTGGGCTCATAGTGATCTCGTAAAGTTGTGACCAAATCTGTAAGCTTTAAGATAGATGGCTTCACCGGAGCTAGTAAATCTCTCAAGACGTTGTTGGTCTTGCTGCCTATTGAGGTCTGGAACGTGGCCACGATCTTCTTTTCTTCTTTGATTTCGTTCGCTATCACGTGTTGATCGAAACGTTCGCAGTTTGCGTTCCAGTCTTCTGAACTGGAGTTAAAGAACTCAATTGTTCCAAGAGTGGCCATCCTCGTCGCCAGTTGTTGTGCATTAGGGTTCGTTATATACTACTATAGAGTAAAGCATGCACAGACCAAGTGCTCTACACAACTACTTTATTAGAATGCCCTGAAGTTAATTACACACAATGATAGATGAATATAATCACGTGACTGCGGTCAAATGTGTGCTAACCAACAGAATAAAGATTATATAATAGCTAAGGTACTTATCCAAATAGGAACAAACACTCCAGAATCCTTGCTCATGGAGGATATCAGGGAGATTATTATAGAACCCCTAAAGCATGAGGGTACTTAGCCCATCTATTTCAACAAGCATTCTACCGCAGCTTTTGTTTGAAAGAATATGGACCTACAGTATGCGACATTAGTTGGCGCTCTAGAGATTGCAAATGTAAATTGCATCCAAGTGTTCCTCTATATGCGTCATGACTACCAGTAGAAAAAATGACAATTACTAATTCAAAAATGGCAAAAATAAAACGACAAAATAATTAACTAAAATATCATAGGGGAAAAATAGGCAGGAAATAAGACGAAAAAACAAACGAAACAAAAGCAGAAACGGATAAAACAAGTTTTAATATCACAGGTTCAAGCGAAAAATTAGCGTGAGTACATGTAATAAAAAGTGCTTATTTCTTTGGTCGTTTTCCATCTCGAGGCTGCATGGGTTCTGCAGTCAACAGGAGAACTTCCCCTGTCGACGCGGTGAGTTGATCACCACTAAGTAAATGAACATTCATCGAGGCAATAAATTTGTTAAACATGCCATCCACTTCCGTTATTCCACAAGCTCTGTCGCCATGAATACGCCCGAGATACACCGGCTGAGACCCATCCTTGTCGCTCACTCTAACTGCATTAACTGGAACAGGGTTTCCAGGCTCTGCCCTAACCCACTCATACCTTGTGGCCGAAAGAGCACTTATCCTGGGACGTCCAAGTTGTATAAAACTCACCATGTCGGGGTAAACACATAATCTCCTATTTTCTTGCCACACTTTACAAACCAGAACACGATGTCGCTCTGGGTCCAACAAATCAGCTTGCCAGATTGCTCTTCCGAGATAAACAGGGATGTTGTTGCTTCTTCGCTCAACCTCTAACAAATTTTTACTGGAAAGTGAACTACAATCGTCTTGCAATTGGACCCAGCAGGGCTTGGGATTAGATGGGTACACGCTAATTCCCTCTTGGTCGCCTTTGATCGTAACACAGCCATAACGTTCAGGATCCACGGCCATATCTGTGAGCCACATTTTGTCCCCGTCGTGTACTGAGACATACATTAAATGACCATCATTTTCAGCTGGAAATGGCATGGTCTCGCCAAACGGAAAATGGTTGAAACCTCCATGGATCAAACTGTTGTGAATTCGCCGCTCCTTCTCTTTCTCGTCTTTATGATGGTTGTTTAACTTCCCTGTAGCCTGAGCAGCGGCAACCATTCCTTTAGCCTCGTCCATAATACGAGTAAATTCCTTAGTTTCCCTTAGTTTGTCGCCTCGGACCCGTAGAAATATCTCTTTGACACCTTTGACTCGGTTGGTCGCATATATGTGCGGTGCCCTGGGTTTAAGCGCTGCGGAGAGAAATTATGGTATATTATAATAAATTTTATTAAAATTACGATAAGTCTCGCTGATTTTGCCTGTGCTAGAGGCCTTTCCAAGACACCTATCGCTCTTCTCCTTATCTGGCGGTCTTTTAAAGACTTTTTTTTTTTGGAAGGGGAGGGGAGCAAATTAAACTTAATTGTTTTCTCTGACCAAAGAGCGAAAAACAAAAATGTTTAAAAAAGTTTGACCAGATTTCGTTGACAGTAACCTTTACTAAATTTGGCATTTGGCTCAGCATAATGAATATACATGTTGTCAAGGTGAAAAGTAACAAACAAATACCTGGCTTACTCTCTCCTGCGCCCATGGTTGAATACGATGTAACTTGCACCTCTCCAAGTATCACGAATCTATCAAAATATAACAGGGAAGTAAGCCAATTAGAGCTGGTCTTGTCAACAAGGCCATTCTTCTATACAAAACGATGTGTACACAACACATGGCAAAACTTGCAAACTTCAGTTTTCCGCTCCCTGTTCATTTTCGTTGATCATTTGATCATGGTCCAAACCTTAAAGCTAGGGGCCTACGCTACACTTCAAAAAGAATGAGTACTGGAGCACTCAGATTGGAAAATGAAGACTTGAAATGTGGAATGGGGAATGGAAAATGAAGGATGATTAATGAACAATGGAATCCAGAGAATAAAAATGAGAAGAATAAACAATGTTGAGAGGAGAATGAAACTTAACAAAAAATCATGAAGTTTAAAAGGGAAAGAGAGATTCGGAATTCGAAATTAACGCACAGACAATAAAGAATACAATTATATAGAATAAACATTACAAAAAAAAATTAATGGAGAATGGAACACGCCGTGAAAACGGTGAAATATTACAGAAAGGAGGAATAAATAAAGACTTGAATAAAGAATGGAAAAGGGAGGAAGGGGAATGTAGAATTGTGAATAGGGAAAAGAGAATCATGAATGGAGAATGGTAAACAAAGAACGGAGGGAAGAGAATGGAGAGCGGAAAAGGAAGAATGGACAATACAAGATGAAGACTGAAGAATGGAGAATGAAGAATTGTATGGAACATAATTACGGACTCGGTAGGTGCTTGTTTACTTTTACGTTTTCTTTGCATGGATGGTTTCTCGTTCAGCACGCGTACCTTTTCGCATGAGTGTCGAATTACACATTCTGAGCATGTCATATGACGCACTGCTTGAAAGAAATGCCAAACAAAAGTTATCATGCCTGCCTTTTCTTCTGCTTATTAAATATGCGCATATCTGGAAATTTGTGACATGCTTAGCGTGCCGTGTCATGACACGTGCGCCCGTGCATGCACCTTCGTCACATGGTCAAATGGCGTAATAGT